TCAACGTTATTTTATGTTATGCTTGAAAAGAAGTATATATTGATATAACTTGTCACTTGTTTTATTTACATACGTACGTATTTCTCAGAAAGACAGGCGAAGGGAAACATCAGATACACAAATGTTGCTACACTTTTCACTAAACTGTCCACTACATATGAAATAGAATCACAGCCCACACGAATGTCTTTCCCAATATTATTCCAACATTAACACTTCCAGACGTGAGAATGTCTGATACGTGATCAGTCTAAGTAACCAATCTGGGAGTTATTGATAATGAAATACCACGTTGGTCTGTGTTCATTTCCCAACAGATAACAGATACAGCTCGTTTAGGTAGATGATGTTTGCATTTAGTTTTACTTGATAACTTATAACAAAATATTTGCGAGACTAATAAGGAAGTCATACCTGTTGAAGTCTATCTGACACCATTTAAACGAAACTTAAATTCAGTATGTATACAATTTATTTTATCTACTCGCGGGTTATGTACACTGAGGTTTGGCGCACGTATTGAAACAGCTAAGGAAAGAAAACTGGAAATTGAAAATATCAGAAGTTTTGTTTTGAGGCTGTGCTAAATACAATCGTTTTTTTCCTGTGATTTCCTTTTTTTTCTCTCCCGTTTTGACAAATTTGGGATTTTTGTTTTGATGGGTTTGTTTCGGTATATCTTGGACAAGGTTAAGGAATGTAGATCATTACATCTAAAGGGTTTGAGGTGAGGTGAGGTGAAATTGGGTTTAACGTCGTGCTTGAGAATATTTCGCTCATGTGACGACGTGCATGCGTGTGTATGTGTATGTGCGGCTGCTTGTACTAGCCCGGACTTAAGCTGGTTTTATAGTGCTAGCCCACTGAGATACCATGCCGCAGTGAAGCATGAATGCCCCTCTCAGACACATTATACTGACTCCGAGCCGACCAGTCCTTGCTGTACCCATTAATGCCGAGCGCCAGGCAGGGACCAACAAGTACCATATTTTAACGTCTTTTGGTATGACGCGGTCGGGGATCGAACCCACGACCTTCCGCTCTCCGGACGGACGATCTAACCACTACACCACGGGGGGCGGTCTCTAAAGGGTTTGAAGTCAGTAGGAAGCCTACTGTTTAGTAGCAGCAGTGATTTTCAGTGAACCCGTTTTTCAAGTCAGATGATAGCCAGACACCAGGAATGGGTGCCCCATAGTATACCGATGCACGATGGGAACGAAACTCGTGTGCACACCGGACGAGCTAACACTTGAACCAGTAGGCTACCCACCGCCAATGCACGTACAATTACATGAACCAAAAGGTCAGAATGAACACAATCAATGAAGGCCACTTGATGAGGAAACGTGCTACAAAATTATATGTGTGCACTTGTGCAAATACCACTTCACGAGCATCAAAGGACGCCATTGTTTGCGTCATTCTAATCTTATTATAACGTAAGGTCGGAATGACGTCACACTAGAATCGACGTTATAGCTGAAGTGGTAGACGTCACTGGACAATGTGGTTTGCGGTCGTGATCAATGCCTTTTCTCTTGTTTGTGTGTGTGTTTGTTGTTTACGCCGCAATATTCCAGCTGTATGGTGGCGGTCTGTAAATAATCCAGTCTGGACTAGACAATCCAGTGACCAACAGCATGAGCGTCGATCTACACAAGTGGGATACGATGACACGTGTCAACCAAGTCAGCGAGCCTGACCACCCGATCCCGTTACTACAAGTATGGGTTGCTGAAGACCAATTCCAACCTTCACGGGTGCCTTTTTTTCTAACAGTAAACTCAAAAGGATGAACTAGAATTTACTGATAATGGTAATAAAGAATTATGTCGAGCAGATTTATAGAAACTCATGTAAATGTTAGAGTTCTGAAACTCGTTTTGTTAAATTAGTGCGACATACATCTAAATATATCCTGACAATATATGTAGTAGAGTTGAAAAACCCCTCCGCCGGGAAGTAACCACCCACCCATGATGTCGCCAAGGAGGCTGTCGTACCACTGGGAGATGAAGACGTTCATTGTTTTTCCCTGGCGTGTCATTGCGTACGCCGTCTGTTACATAACGCGAAAACTGTGTAGACAAAGACGTCTGTTGACGTCGTTACATAAGACTCACTATCTGGGGGATACATACCATCTGGGGGACTCACTACCTGGGGGACAATAATGAAGACGTTTACAGGTTAGGCCCCGGAAACCCTCCCGCCGGGGTGAGAGGTGGCTGTACAGAATGTCATTTTTCGTAACGTTGTGTTTATAACCTTCTATAGATACAGTCTGATTTATGGTCAACGGGGATTATAAGGAAGAGGTCATCCAGGCGATTTGTGGTCCAGGCTGCAGTTGGTGCGATTACAATGTTGATTCACGTTATCGAACCCCGGTGTTTGGCATGGTTAACAACATCGTGATACCACGACTCCGTCGTTCACGGTCACAGAAGATAGTAGGCTGTCTCGGTGTTGTTGATCATGCCCCAGAGGTCGAATACATGCACGTGCATACAACTGTTACCCAATAATTATAGCATAAAAGTTCTCTTCGTATGAAAGCTGTAGCTTATCGCTAATCATGGCTGCACTCTCTCACACCCGTCATAAATGAAGGAAACAATCTCGTAATGATATTTCAGACATGGCTGAAATGTAGACAAACGAGATTTCCAAGGTCACATTTCGGGACTGTGGCTGACTGACGAGTGAGTGGGACAAACACATAGCATTCATTATTGGGGCATAGCGACAATCTTCTTTGTGGGAAATATAAAACAAACAGTTTTTAGACATAATAATATTTGTAACATAGCAAATAATTCCCTAAAGCAGTAGACATTTCACTTACATGTATATACATTCATCACTTTGATAGTTTGATGACTTCACATTAGAGGGAGGAAACGAATGGTTTTCAACTGAGGGGTATATTCTTCCTCCGTCATCATGAAGGAATTGGCATATACTCCGAAACGTCGTGTCCCATATATCATTAAAAAAGGTTGACACCCATAATGTTCACCCTAATGTGTATCACTTCTAAATGCCATTCGGGGCGGTTGAATAATCTAGTGGTTAAAGCGTTGGCTCGTCACGCCGAAGACCCGGGTTCGATTCCCCACATGGGTACAATGTGTGAAGCCCATTTCTGGTGTCCCCTGCCGTGATATTGCTGGAATATTGCTAAAAGCGGCGTAAAAACAAACTCAGTCAGTCAGTCTAAATGCCATTCAAAGACTTTATGACATTGTCTGCACTGACATGCATGATACACGTCACGTCTAGCCCTGTTTCACCAGTGGTACCAGCAAGTCAGACACGTGGTCTGAAAAGGTAATTACATAGTTGGTTACATAGATTATTAAGTGCGTAATCTTATCCAGTACTGTGTTCAACAACCTCGACCCAATCCCTCCCACCTTGTCCAGATTAGGCAAATCTACTGCATTAGCTCTCTGAACCAGCTTCCTCACTCCGGCCTCATTAGAGAGACGGGTAGCCTAGTGGTTATAGTGTTCGCTTGTCACGCCGAATACCCGGGTTCTATGCCCCAACATGAGTGCAGTATGTGAAGACCATTCCTGGTTTCCCTCGCTGTGCTAATCCGGGTATATTCCTGAAAGCCACACTCACTCTTTCGTACTTTGGCATCATAATACTCCCTTTCCAGACCGACCTGGGTCTACCGGGTGTTGTGGGAGAAGCACTCTCTGGTGTTGATGTTAGGGAGTGCAGGTTGTTGTGGTCGGCTCCCTACCTGTATGTTCGTCGTGGACAGATGGTAGCCATGCAACTTCTTCTAAGTTCTCAAAACTTCAACATGACGATATCACTATAACAGTATAATAAATATAGGGTTAATAAAAAACATGAAAAGGTTATGTCTTTCAGTGGCATTTAGAAGTTGTACATAGATGTCCAAGATATTTTTATGGATTAAACTTCTTTTTTATTTCCCTCACGACATTTCGGGACCATTCTAGGTCCCTTCATCAGGTGAACTGACAGTTGAGACTATGGCGTCGTCACTATCAAAAGGCTACTTGTTGTGTTATTAACAACGAGTTTTATTGTTTTAATACTAGTATTCATGTAATATATAGGCCTTATATTATAATAGGTAGTATTATCAAATATATAATTAGAAACGGTAGTAAACAACGCTGTTAATATCCAGATGAACGGTTTGTTTGTTACTATCCGTCTAGCCCTCACCGTGCCTGTCTACATTTCGGTTTTTCAATTATATTGGGGATTTGTCTTCTTTTTGGTACTGGGGGAAATTCATTTGTCTTTGTTTCGGTTGTAAGGGGAATTCATTTGTCTACGTTTCGGTTGTAGGGGAAATTCATTACGTTTCAGCGCTAGGGGAAATTCTTTTGGTACTTTCCGGTACCAGGGTAAATTCCTTTTTGTACGTTTCGAGCCGACACCTACAACTCACGTGTCTTGTTGATAGTTTGACGTGTGGGATGTGTGGACATCACATGGATGTCATACAGCATCAGCAACTGACCTAGTCACGATATCGCCTGGTTTAAATAGCTCATATCACTTTGGGTGCGTCATCAGAGACAACGATATATATAACTATTGATAATCTGACCTGTAAACAAGGAAAGTTCACGTACTTGAAATTCAATCAATTTGTAATATCGATTAAACAATAATATTTATCTACAAGTACTTTCTATCTGTAGGGAGTATTTCATGGCGATCTCTAACCATTATTTGTCATGTGAAACTTTATGTGTAACTCAACAAAATACCCGCGACGTTTCTAACAAGGGTCTTGGAAGATTTATTAATGCCCAATGCCAGGATACATTATTTCCGGGATATAAATAGACACACATTTGTTATAATTCCCGTGTGATTGTGAAAAGATAGATATTAGAAATAGGAGTAGTATGAAGCTACGAAGCTGTAAGGGAAAATCGCGTAAATATATTATACGAATGCTTCTCGTGATCACTCGTTACCGTTGATTGTCAATCACGTGACAGGTCACGAGGAAAACAAACAAGATGGCGACACACGTGATGGCGTTTTGAGGTCGCAGACCGTGTCATGCGGGATAAGGACACTTCCTGTGGACGAAGATAATCTGTCAAGATGGTAGACATTCTGCCGTGGCTCGATGAACATTTGTATGTAAGTAATATCGCATCGGTCGCGACAAGCACCAGAATATTACGTAATGACTAACAGCTCGCAATTTGCGATCAGCGATCCATTAAATTGGGTTATGTAATGATCAATGACTTTCACGTAAATTCGAAATGCTGTTCCGTTACCACCTGGACACTTTTCAGCGCCGCGCACGGCGAAGTGGTTGAGATAGCTTGCGAATCACGCGTTGATTTGGTCACTGTCGTTCAAAACAGAATTTGACATTTATTTTTTTTATCGTCGGATCCTAGGTTTTCGGATGGCAGTGCTCACTTGGGCTGTAACAAGGGGTCTTGCGTCCCACAGATAACTCTTGAATGATGGTTTGTGTTTGGGATAAAGCTTTCTTTTATAAATGGTGACATGTTTTACAATTGTTCAAGCGTTAAATCGAGACCTGGAGACAGCAACGGATGTTCAAGTGTCCGAAGACCCATAACACTAGCCGAGAGCCGCGATGCGGTCCTGTACAGTTAAAACATGCAGGGTCATGTAATGACTGTATCGCGGCTCTCGGCTACCATAGCACGGCAAGACATAATCTGTTATTCCTCATAACGGGATATTCAGACAGTGTTCACGAATGGTGTTTCCAAGTAACAGGATATTGGGCCCTGTAATGGTTAAAGCGTTGGCTCGTCACCCGAAGACCCGGGTTCGAATCCCCACATGGGTACAATGTGTGAAGCCCATTTCTGGTGTCCCCCGCCGTGATGTTGCTGGAATATTGCTAAAAGCGGCGTAAAACCAAACTCAGTCAGTATAACAACTTCAGTCAAAGTCATTGTGAAATATACAGTCAGACAATGGGACTGGCGGGTTGTAGACTTCTATCGGACCGTGGCGAATCTGCCGGATTTGTCAGAGGGTCAGACGCTATTCGTGAACGGTATTTAGTATCATCTAAAATGTAGTGTGTGAAGAACACACTGTTGATCATGCGGATTAAAAGGTCCAAGAAATATGCTGTGCTGAACATGTTGATATAAGACTATTAAGAAAAGTCAGTGAGTGAGCCTGAATGAGTGAGTGAGTGGGCCTCTGCCTCACCTATCAGTCTCTCTACAACCAAGGACCTTCCTACCTTCAAGACCTAATGACACATTACTCCCCAGAAAGAACTCTATGCTCATCACAACAGCTGTTACTCGCTGTCCCACTAAAATCCTTTGGCTCAAGAACCTTTCATATGCAGGAGCTTGTCTGTGGAACTTGGAACTCTCTCTCAATGGAGTTAAAATCATCTCCTAAGTACATTCAAAACACGACTCAAGACTCACCCATTTATCCACTACAAGTGACTTTTAATCATCTGTACCTGCCATCTGTATATAGTTTTAACTTGAGTTCAGGAAGCGCTTTGACTTTGAGCATATCCCTGTGACTTGGAAAGGCTCTATATAAATAATAATAATAATGCACTTGTATAGCACCTAATTTCCAATCGGTGGCTGCTCAGTGGTGCTTTACAAGGTTAAAAAAAAGAATAAAATAAACAGAGTTATTGGTTGAAGAGATGGGTTTTCAAGTCACGGCAGAATGACTGGACAGAATCCACAGATTCATATATGTTAGTAGGCTGTTCCACAAAGTCAGAGCCACAACAGAAAACTTTGTCCTCGTAATGGGTACACAGAGCTGGAGTTGACCAGATGAGTGGAGTCTGTGAGCAGGGAGATAGGGAGTGGCCTATTATTATTATTAATGATATTCATTATCTCAGTCTGTAATGTTCCCGAATCATCACTGCAGTCTGTAAAACATCAAGCCTTGATCAGGCTAACAAGTGACTGAAAGCAAAGATCATTCACCATCAGGTCACAACACTACACAAACCCCAATGCTCATAGAACCTGACGACACATGAAGATCCGGTTTGAACTGGTCTTCAGTAACCCATGCTTGTCGTAGGAGGCGACTAACAGAATCAGGTGGTCAGGCTCGCTGTCATGGCATCCCAATTGCATAGATCAATGCTCATGCTGTTGATCACATGATTGTCTTGTCCAGACTCGATTACTCACAGACCACCTCCATATAGCTGGAATATCGCTGAGTGCAGCGTAACAACCAAGCCACCAACCAACCATAGAACCTGACCCCACTCTTCTTATGACAAGCAATCAAGGGCAATGAATCCCCATCAACCTACTTCCTCAGACTCCTCACAGGCTGTAGTAAACTTCACAACAGTAAACACCTTCAAGAATTATAGAGTAATGTGTCTCAGAAAATATGTAGTAGTTTTGATAGGAAGAACTGTTTTAATTGAAAAAGACATCAGTAAGATGGGAGATTCAGAACCTGGACCTGAGAAAAATGTAGACTTGCTTCATTAATATTTTTGCGTTACTGATCTGGCTGGTTGGATGAAAAAAAAATATGTTTGAGGGACCGTGAGACTGTGATTTACTTAGCCATCATTGTACCTGAACCTCTTAATCATTAATCTTTATCAATATCAGCTGTATGGCTGTCATCAAGCAATAAGTAATAATATCAGTAGACTCTCCCAACTTAGGAATGTAGTTATCTCAGATGTATCTTGGTGACATGTGATTTCTTGTAGCCTTCCTTGAATGATGAGTCATTGTGCGACAGTGCACAGATGTCCATAAAATGTGTCCAGTCACTGATAACTGGGTGACAATCTTTTTACCTGAGTATCACCATCAGCATCTGTCCTCCTGGCTACACTGTGACACTGTCCTCCTGGCTACACTGTGACACTGTCCTCCTGGCTACACTGTGACACTGTCCTCCTGGCTACACTGTGACACTGTTGTCCCGGCTACACTGTGACACTGTCGTCCTGGCTACACTGTGACACTGTCCTCCTGGCTACACTGTGACACTGTCCTCCTGGCTACACTGTGACACTATCTGCTGTTGTGCGGAGCTTTGTCTCATGTACCAGCAGTAGTAAATACCAATCCTAACTCCACCTGTCACTGTTTAAAGACACTAGTTTCTGAATATGCAGCATTAAACAGACATCTGTAGTTCTTTCTCGTAGAATCTCTTACTACAGTGTTTTCTTTGACCTCCAGCCATTTTGTACACATATGAAATAAACTCTCAAACTGACAGATCTTACAACTAATTGATGTAAGTTGTTTCATTCCATTTTGGAATTCTACTGGTATTTAGTAAGATCTTGAAGTACTTTCAAGTCTAATACATTGTAAGAAAAAGACAACAAATATTTGTGCATGTTTCAATGTTTCCCCAGGCATAATGTTGTGAGAAAACTCTGGCATTGGTAAACATACTCATCTCATCAATATATACTTTCTTGAAAGACGTTAAAGAACATCAGAATGTTCATATTCCAAGATATCAACTGTCTTAAAGAAAAGTAACCTGAAAGAATTGAGATCCTTTTTTCCAGTGGCATGCACAACAGTTACGGAGTCAAAGTTCATCTTCTGCTTTTCGTTGAAACTCAAGTGTAATACATGTCTAATTTCAGTGACTTTGCTCGAGTGATTTTTTATTTTAACCTTGCATCTGAGCTATTTCAGGTGCCAGACTGCAATATGTTATTTAGAAATACTTTTGTTTGTGAGAATTGACGTGTGCAATGTGAGTGAAGAGACTGAAAACTGAAAAGCCCACTTGAATCCCGCTATGTGCATATATCCATGAGAATAAATTAATGTTTAGGGACATGCTGTGATTGCAAGCAATTTTATTGGTTCCATCATTTATCTTTGTATAATTTCCTGTTCTGGTGAAAATGAACTCTTAGTTGTTTTTTGACATATCAATTATTGAGCCTCCACACATGGTGGTTGGTGATCCTTTTTTATTATATTATATTACAAGATTAATAAACAGAAAAATTAATAAACAGGGTTGCAGTGAGTAGTTATAATTGTTGAGGGTATTTTATGGGAGATGGTGTTACAGTGAACAATGATGATGTTATTGGTTAACATTCAGTGGTATCCATGGAAACTGCATTGCTCATACAACACAGAAATATGTTATGTGAATATCATGAAAATGGTGGTTTCATGTTTCATAAAGGTGAATATGATTTTACAATGTCCAATTGTAGAAAGTCAAGCAGATTATGTTGATCCCTGTGTAATGCATCACAGTTTTGTTTCCAGACCTGAAATTGTAGAAAGTCAAGCAGATTATGTTGATCCCTGTGTAATGCATCACCGTTTTGATTCCAGACCTGAAATAAGACAATTTTGTGTGAGATTTGTAAGCCTGATGAACTAAGAATGATATAAACACTTATTTATGGGTCACATTTCCCATTCACAAGTCAGTTGCTCTGTTGATTGTGGATGTACAGTGAAGTGCATTTTTATAGTAATGTTCGTCAATCCAGTAAAAACGATTGAGTACATCTTGTGATGTGTTGCAGGTGCCCATCCTTGGTGGACTGGCGTTGGTGGCTATCATTGCCCTTATTGTCTGGTGTTGTGTCCGTAAGTGCAGGTGAGTTCCTAGCATCCCTGGGTAGATCTACCCCATTCATGTGACTGCCACTACCCTGGGTAGATCTACCCTATTCATGTGACTGCCACTACCCTGGGTAAATCGACCCCATTCATGTGACTGCCACTACATTGGGTAGATCTACCCTATTCATGTCACTGCCACTACCCTGGGTAGATCTATCCCATTCATGTCACTGCCACTACCCTGGGTAGATCTACCCTATTCATGTCACTGCCACTACATTGGGTAGATCTACCCCATTCATGTGACTGCCACTACCCTGGGTAAATCGACCCCATTCATGTCACTGCCACTACCCTGGGTAGATCTACCCTATTCATGTCACTGCCACTACCCTGGGTAGATCTATCCCATTCATGTCCCAGCCACCACCCTGGTTATATCAATGCTCATGCTGTTGATCACTGGATTGTCTGGTTCAGATTGTATTATTTACAGGTCACCATGACATAGCTGGATATTGCTGTTGAATCAAACAAATAAACACTATCCCATGCTGAATGACCACCACCAATTGTTAACTTGCATGTCTTATTATCTCTTTTTGTACGGGTTATGTTACCATGGATACTGATTTCTTGTTCTAGGAACAGGTACAAGTTCCCGTACCGACGTATCGGAGAGTATGATGTTGCTCTCTCGGAGCAAATGGAGAGAGAAAAACAGCAGAAAATAACAGCAGTGAGAGGTAAGGTCCAGTGCTTTCATTTGTCCCGGTTAAACCAGGTAGTTTCAGGATACCAATGTTACTCCATATCATTGATGATAGATGCTGGTGGCGGGGACACGATGTTGTTGACGATGGATGTTGTCAGGTGACACGATGTTGTTGATGATGAATGTTGTTGTCAGGTTGCAGGAGGATTTTAAACGTGAATGTTTCTGTTTTCAGATTCTGCGTTCATGAGCTGCCAGTTCTACCTGCGATCTCACCCCCAGTATGACAATGTGCAACAACTGAAGGACCTTGGTATGAGCAGTCATTACCTCCTCAGAATAAACCAGTGATGAGGCCTAGTTGTAACCTCAAGTCATAAAGCTGGTTGTAATCATGGTCTTAAAGCTGGTTGTAATCTCAGTCATGAAGCTGGTTGTAATCTCAGTCATGAAGCTGGTTGTAATCTCAGTCATAAAGCTGGTTGTAATCTCGGTCATAAAGCTGGTTGTAAACTCAGTCCTAAAGCTGGTTGTAATCTCAGTCCTAAAGCTGGTTGTAATCTTGGTCCTAAAGCTGGTTGTATTCTCAGTCCTAAAGCTGGTTGTAATCTCAGTCCTAAAGCTGGTTGTAATCTCGGTCATAAAGCTGGTTGTATTCTCAGTCATAAAGCTGGTTGTAATCTCAGTCATGAAGCTGGTTGTAATCTCAGTGTTAAACCTAGTTGTAATCACGGTCTTAAAGCTGGTTGTAATCACGGTCTTAAAGCTGGTTGTAATCTCAGTCATGAAGCTGGTTGTAATCTCAGTCATAAAGCTGGTTGTAATCTCAGTCCTTAATCTGGTTGTAATCTCCATCATAAAGCTGGTCGTAATCTCGGTCATAAAGCACCGCCTCCGTGGTGTAGTGGTTAGAGTGTCCGCCCGGAGAGCGGAAGGTCGCGGGTTCGATCCCCGGTCGCGTCATACCAAAAGACGTTAAAATATGGTACTTGTTGGTCTCTGTCTCAGTCAGATACCCAATCCACTGAAATCTATTGGATACATAAGCAAATAAACAATGTTACTGTCCAAACCTCAACAACACTGATGGAAATTAGCCTTGTCCTGTGTAGTTATCATGGCTTTGGTGGAGACATATAGAATGTAAGTATGTATAACATCATTGCCCACATCAAGTGTGTTACTGGATGGCAATAGCCAGAGGGTCTATGGGTATTCTAAGTAACTGTATAAAGAGTTGATACATCAACTTGCAGGCAGCAGGATCGACAAGCACTGGTTCCGTGTCCGTGACAATCGCCTGAAGGTGGACCGAATTCTCACCACCATCCCCAGCAACATGAAGATGGTGCTCCCCTTCACGCCGGCCACCAGCAAGGTCCTCAAGGATCTCTTCAGCCTCCTCCAGGTAAACCCTCAAAACTGAGGGGGGCAGTGGGGTAGTCTAGTGGTTATAGCGTTTGCTCGTCACGCTGAATACCGGGGTTTGGTCCCACATGGGTACTATGCGAGAAGCCCATTTCTGGTGTTCCCCACCATGATATTGCTGGAATATTGCCCAAAGTGGTGTAAAACCATACTCGCTCACTCACTCAAAACTGAGGGTCGTCACTGCTGTCACAGCTATCTAATTGTGTGTTGTCTAACTCTGTATGTCTCAGAAATAGAGCTGTCTAACTTTGGTAGTATAACAGAGACAGCTGTTTTAAGTCTACAGTCTGACAGCATGAAGCCAAGTTCACACAGTCTGGTTGTATTGAGACAGAGATACCTTAGACAGGTGTGAGTCGTTGTGTCCATATGTCTTACACATGATTCACGGAAGTTTATGGGGCAGTTTGCTCCCAAAATGTGAATATTTCTGCTCCTGCTCATATTATTATTGTCATTATGCTTCTTCTCTGTCCTGAGTTGTCTCCCTTTGTTAAATGGAAGGTGCCAGAAATAAACAGTTTCGTTAGATACAATTTTGAGCAGTTCATATCACCATGGTAACATGATGATGTGTTGTTTCTGCAGCACCCGTACGTGTTCCCCGTCTCTCAGTTCAACTTCTCGGTGGAGCAGATGTGCATCATTACGGTCCAGCCAATCAGCATGCGGGGATCTCTGAAGGATGTCATATACCAGGTATACCATGCTTCACACAGAGTACAGGCAGACGAGTTCTCCCCTGTGACTTCTGGTTGTCTCCAACAGTCAGTGATAATAATAATAATAATAATAATAATAATAATAAAGTACAGCTCTTCTGACACTCTGGGTAATGCAGAAGGCTGCAGTGTTGGGGAGCCTTCATATTCTCCGGAAAGTTCTTGGTGGGTTCGACTAGGCAGCGTTTCCTGGGAGAAGTCCCATTCGCTGTCTGGGCTGCGTGTAGAGGGGGCAAGGGCCCTGAGCTGATGATGAGCCTTACCAGCCTGACTGTGCCAGGATCACCCGAACCCTCTCTGCTGCATATTATCTTCAATCTGTAAAACATAATAATAATAATAACTATCATATATTAAATGTAACAGTCTGAAGTTTTATAGAACACAACACAGAAATGGAAAGTCTGTAGAAGTATGACTGTAGGTAGGTCTTGTTTTATTCCACAAAACAGGGAGAATGGAAGGTCTGCAGAAATGCATCAGTAGGTGTCCATCTGTTTTCAAACTTCCTAACCTATTTTACATTTCAGAGAAAGTTTACGGAGAGCTGGTATGAGAAATACAGCCAGAGAAATCGCGGCCTGAGTCTTCAGCAGATACAGCTGTTTGGCCGACAGATCCTTGAGGTAGATCCACCCCACCAATAATCTATATTCTGCATCCATAGTAACCAGTACAAAATAACTGTGATAAGACTTCCCCGTTTACAACAATGCGTCGTCCAACTTATTTGAGAGGCATTTGGCACAGGTCTGTAAGTGTTTCAACTCTGATTGTGTAGTTAACGGGCTTCTCCACTCGCCTGACACCCTAATCAAATCAGCTGTAAAACCACTTCTCATGTTTGTATATATGCCTCACAATCCCTACTCTGTACATCGCATGCTTGATAACAGTGTTGTCATTGTTGTGAAGAAGCTGTTCATCCATATATCTTCTCCTTCCATAACCCATCGTCTGTATCCCAGTTGCATCGATTGATGCTCATGATGTCGATCTGTGGAGAGTTTTGTCCAAATTCGATTATTTACTGACTGCTGTCATTTATCTGGGATATTAATTAAGCGCCACATCAATCAAAACGCAAGCAAACATCACAACAAAATCACATGATGTGAACATGCAATGTTTGTAAACAGCCATTGCCAGGAACATGATGCAAACAATGCTGTTTCAGTCAACAGACAGCTAACAATAGAAACAGACACAGGCGTCTAACCCTGTCTTGTCTTGTCTAAGTATAAACTGAGATAAAGTGATGTTGCCATGTTGGTCTAAGATAAGGATATGTTTCCATGTTGGTCTAAGATAAGGATATGTTTCCATGTTGGTCTAAGATAAGGATATGTTGCCATGTTGGTCTAAGATAAGGATATGTTGCCATGTTGGCCTGAGATAAGGATATGTTGCCATGTTGGTCTAAGATAAGGATATGTTGCCATGTTGGTCTAAGATAAGGATATGTTGCCATGTTGGTCTAAGATAAGGATATGTTGCCATGTTGGTCTAAGATAAGGATATGTTGCCATGTTGGTCTAAGATAAGGATATGTTGCAATGTTGGTCTAAGATAAGGATATGTTGCCATGTTGGCCTGAGATAAAATGATGTTGCAGGGACTGATGTATTTAGAAGACAAGGGATTTCCCCAGCACAGCAACATCCATTCAGGCAACATCATGTTCGAGGATGGCGTGTGCAAGTAAGTTGCCATGGTTACCTGCTGGAACCTTTCCCCTTCCCGCTTTATCTATACAATGTCCATTGGTAATGTTGGCTTAGAATTGGTCCTCAGCAGGTATACAGCTCATGAGATTGGTCAGTCTGGTTGCGTGGTTGATTGTGGACTCCAACAGCATGGGGCATTGCTCACAATGTCAATCACCAGATTGTCTGGTCCAAAGTTAATTATTTACAGGCTGTGGTCATGTTGTCGAATACTTCTGAAAACACCTATGCAAGAAAATATGATTATGTCTGATTTTGTTCTTAAAACACATACAGTCTCTTGCAGGAATTAATAAATACCAATTGTTTTGTTTAATGAGGGGCGGTGGGCTAGTTACACAATGCATGTTTGTCTTGGGTACAATTTGTAAAGCTTATGTGATGCATTGATATTGCTGGAATATTGCTTAAAGCGGTGTAAAGCACATACTCATTCATGTTTAGTACTCAACGAGGTACTGTTAAGCTGAATGTGAGCATGGGACGCACAGAGAGAGATTGGTGGAACAGGTTATGGTATGTTTGTTTCTGTTACAGGGTATGGTGTTCTTGTTTGTTTCAGAGTAACAGGATATGAAAACATCTTTTTGGGCAACACATCCAGAGTCTATTCCCTAATAAGGAAGAAACTGAAAGGAGAGAACAAAGATGCAATTGACGTACTGTCCTTCGGTATGTGTCATTGATTAATATGTCCTTCAAATAAAACCCGTGAAGATCCGGGTTAGAATTGGTCTTCAGTGAGTGAGTGAGTTAATATTTAACGTCACATCGGCAATATTTCAGCCATATCGTGACGATGGTCTTCAGTTACCATGCTTGTTGTACAATGCGACTAACGGGATCGGGGTGGTCAGGCTCGCTGACTTGGTTGACACATGTCATTGTATCCCAGTTGCGTAGATTGATGCTCATGCTGTTGATCACTGGATTGTCTGGTCCAGACTCGATTATCTACAGACCGCGACGATATAGCTGGAATATTGCTGAAGAGGGCATAAAGCTAAACTCATTCATTCACTCACTCACGCACATCACTTTGTACAACAGCACCCTGGACTGTAGTATATAGTCATGTCAGCATCCTGTTTCTTGTCAGGTCATCTGCTGTTCGAGATGTGTTTCGGTTTTGAGCTGGATGCCCCCCATCCGGGAGCCCCAGAACTTGACAGGCCATCAGTCTCCAATCATAGTTGAGGTAAACGCACTGCACGTGATGTAATTACATCAACATAACTGATGCATGGTGAAGTATACCTTGTCTAACCATGACTTGACTTTAAAATCTAGCTGTTGTTGCAGGTGATGAACTTTATATTTGAACCAGAGTCTGGAAAGTACCCCACTTTGCGAGAGGTAAGATTTTTGTTAATTTGATGAATGTGTTTCCATATCCTGAGGACTTGCAGAGCTGTTGACAGAGAAACATTATTTTTGAGGACATAACAACTTTAGCTCAGTGCTGTGCTCGTATGTATCCTAACCTGTGAAGATTTGAGTTACAGTTGGTCTTCAGCAACCGCGTAAAAGTGAATTAACAGGATGAAGTAATCATTGTATCCAAATTATGTAGATCGATGCTCATGAAGTCAGTCACTGGATTATATGGTCCAGACTTGATTATTTACAAATAGCTAGAATATTACTGAGTGCAGTGTTTCACAACAAACATACAAAAACACATGCCTACCCTCCTGCCTTGCCCTGACCCGCATCCTGTGACCTGCCAAACAATCTCTAGTCTTGACATAGGAGTGTTAATATATTCCACAGGTGTCCCAGCACATGTTCTTTGGCAGCATCCGTCTCCAGGAGATGATGGCGTATAACCCAGCACCAGTGAGTTGTCTCCCCTGTCAATAATGCCTATCTGTTAAACTATAGTGTAAACCAGGAACAACAGACTGGCTACATTAAGAAAAACTGTTTATTAACACTTTTTCCCTATCCATTTACATGTAGATTGTTGTAGCTAATAGTGTGTTATTTCTCTGTCAGATACATCTGAGTAGCTCCATGAAGAGTCTACTGAAGACAGTCAGGAAGGGCAAGTCAAAGTAGGTTACTCGCATCACAGTGGACGGTGGGTGACTCATACCACAGTAGACAGTAGGTGACTTACATCACAGCAGACAGTAGGTGACTCAAATCACAGTAGACAGTAGGTGTCCTACACCACAGCAGACAGTATGTGACTCACATCACAGCAGACAGTAGGTGACTCACATCACAGTAGACAGTAAGTGACACATCACAGCAGGCAGTAGGTGACTCACATCACAGTATACAGTAGGTGACACATCACCTTAGACAGTATTTGACTCACACCACAGTAGACAATAGGTGACTCACATCACAGTGGTTGACTTACATCAACGTAGACATTAGGGGACTTTTGTTACAAAAAGTGACGTACATGACAGAAGATGACATACAACACAGTAAATGACTCACACCATAGTAGGTGATTCACTTCACAGTGGGTGACTTACTTCATACTCATACTCCATACTATATACAGGTTACACACATTAAATACAGGCTAGACAAACTATATACAGGCTACACTCGCATTATGTACAGGCTATCTACAGGTTACACATAGGGTACAGAGTCAACACACAGGTTGCACTACACACTGTCTTTTTTCTCTTGCAGATCAAAGTCAAAATCGGGCACTGATAAGAAGTGAGTAATATCATCCATCTCTCCTTTTGTTGCTGAATCCAAGCATAGATGTCATGCAGAATCTGTCTATGTCTTGTTGCTGAATCCAAGCATAGATGCAGTGCAGAATCTGTCTAAGTCTTGTTGCTGAATCCAAGCATAGATGCCATGCAGAATCTGTCTAAGTCTTGTTGCTGAATCCAAGCATAGATGCCATGCAGAATCTGTCTAAGTGTTGTTGCTGAATCCAAGCATAGATGTCATGCAGAATCTGTCTAAGTCTTGTTGCTGAATCCAAGCATAGATGCCATGCAGAATCTGTCTAAGTCTTGTTGCTGAATCCAAGCATAGATGTCATGCAGAATCTGTCTAAGTCTTGTTGCTGAATCCAAGCATAGATGCCATGCAGAATCTGTCTAAGTCTTGTTGCTGAATCCAAGCATAGATGTCATGCAGAATCTGTCTAAGTCTTGTTGCTGAATCCAAGCATAGATGCCATGCAGAATCTGTCTTAGTCTTGTTGCTGAATCCAAGCATAGATGTCATGCAGAATCTGTCTAAGTCTTGTTGCTGAATCCAAGCATAGATGCAGTGCAGAATCTGTCTAAGTCTTGTTGCTGAATCCAAGCATAGATGCCATGCAGAATCTGTCTATGTCTTGTTGCTGAATCCAAGCATAGATGCAGTGCAGAATCTGTCTTAGTCTTGTTGCTGAATCCAAGCATAGATGCCATGCAGAATCTGTCTATGTCTTGTTGCTGAATCCAAGCATAGATGCCATGCAGAATCTGTCTAAGTCTTGTTGCTGGTTTTAATGCTCAGTGTCACTCACTTACTCACTCACTTAAGATTCTGCTAGTGCCAGTGTGACTGCTGTATGAAGGGCTGTATTGACATCACACACTTGCCACACAGTCCTAAATATGGTTAAGTCTGTTGAAGGAATCTGCCTTTCTTGAACTCAGTGTATCTTGTTTCCACAGGAAATCCGAGTCCAAGAGAGGGTCAAGATCTGCTTCAGTGTCCTCAGTGACCAATACAACTCCACCTCCTCCTCCTCCTCCCTCCTGGCCCCCCACCACCCCCAGCAGCTTCACCTCCACCCCAGCCCTCCACCTCCACCTCAGACCCAGGGAGAGGGGCTCTCCTGGGATCCATCAAGAAGAGCCATAGTCTCAAGAAGACCATCACTAATGACCGGAGTGCTCCTCGGGTCTGAACTCCAGACTTGGACATCTGACTTGGATTATAGACAACATAAAGTGTAATGATTGTGTATCCTGTATGGAGGAATCGGTAGTGAAATCATTGTCAACAAACTATCCAGATATCACACAGTCAGCAGTGTCCATTGGATGATACAGATACACATACTGCTTGATATAGTTACTGTACACAAAACATACACACTTTGTTGTTCAATACAGTGATTCTGGAGACCAAAGTACCATCTGTTGATGGGTCTGTGTTAATCATCCGTGCATGTATCAGAACCTTGACACTTCTCCCATGTCACAGACATGTATCTCCACTCTGCCTGAAGCTCGACGTTGACACAGCCTGGCCTTCTAAGAAGATTACTGTCACAGATCATTTCCAAACTGTATATATGATTACCTGCCTTATGATGAAGATGTGCCCGCTGTGCTTTCAAATTCAATGTGATGTCTTTTGTGCAAACACTGATATGTGAGAGGCTGCTTGTTGCCAGTAGATTTCTAGCAGTTGTACAGCAATACAATACACGTTAACCTCTGTTTCAGGCAGGCACAGTTGCAATATTAACATACATTTCCAATCTAAGAGCCAGAAAATTACATGTGCAATTTATCCATTGATCAAAGAACACCTGGTCCATGGTACCACTTGGATTTGTGTTCCCCCAGACTTACAGCAGTGGTACCGCTTGAACAGCCAGCCAGTCAGGCAGATTACTCCTAGTCACACTGCAAGCTTGGCTCTATGGAGGGGAGAGGTTATGTTTAATGCTGGGCATGTTGTATTGTTGTCAATTTGTTTTAACTATGGATCAATTCATATTTAAGATCACTTGAGAATGATTGTTACTTTTTCTGTTAGTACCTACAAAGAATGTAGGCAACCATTTTGTTTGATATGCTGATTTCTGTACTGCTTGTTATTCCTGTGACTGTTTGTTAGAATGGCGCCATTTGGCCGAAACACAGATGACTTCTGATGAAGCGTTCACTGTTACCATGGTTACCATGTTGTTGGCATTGTTTTGATTCAGCTGCTCCATGTAACAGGCTACTGGAAGCAATATTTACTTGAGGACATCAAATTGTCATTTCTCTAAGCACTTGATTTATGTGGTCAAGTCGTTGTCACCTTGGCCTTCATAGCCACACAGTTGGTTTGATAGTTTGGTGCATGTTTTTACAGCCTTTATTGGTTCTGGGTATGATGGTTGTTGAATCTCTCACACTGCAATACAAAGAGATGCATCCAGGTGCAGAGAGCCCAGTGTATGGACATCTAAAATCGTTATTTGCTCATTATTTGTTGGTATTCCAGAATCTATCAAATGAACATTTTTTGGTCAGTCTTGTCCTGATGGCTTCTGTGGTAGCCATGCCTTCAGTATAATACAGCTGTTATACAAACAATAAAGATGACGAGCATCTTGTACTCGTATGTGCATACCCAAGTGATCACACTATCTGTTTGCTATTATGAAAATAATAATATGTAATTTTGTAATAAAATGGTGCTATTCAAAGAATGAAGTGTCTGTTTCTGTTCAGTGATAATGTGCAGATGTCACTTTTCTGCCTTTCAGAAGCATAAAAGTCTGTTTCAGCCAATAGTCAAGAGTGACTGTATTCTTGTGTTGATATTTTAATGTTTTAAGAGATCGCATGAGCAATGTTTCGTGGAATGACCTGGGAGGGTAGTGTTTGGTGGAATGACCTGGGACTGGGAGGACAGTGTTTGGTGGAATGACCTTTGAGGACAGTGTTTGGTGGAATGACCTGGGAGGACAGTGTCTGGTGGAATGACCTGGGAGGATAGTGTCTGGTGGAATGACCTGGGAGGACAGTGTTTGGTGGAATGACCTGGGAGGACAGTGTTTGGTGGAATGACCTGGGACTGGGAGGACAGTGTTTGGTGGAATGACCTTTGAGGACAGTGTTTGGTGGAATGACCTGGGAGGACAGTGTTTGGTGGAATGACCTGGGACTGGGAGGACAGTGTCTGGTGGAATGACCTGGGAGGATAGTGTTTGGTGGAATGACCTTGGAGGACAGTGTCTGGTGGAATGACCTGAGGAGGATAGTGTTTGGTGGAATGACCTTGGAGGACAGTGTTTGGTGGAATGACCTTGGAGGATAGTGTTAGGTGGAATGACCTTGGAGGATGGTGTTTGATGGAATGACCTGGGAGGACAGTGTTTTGTCGAATGACCTTGGAGGATAGTGTTTGGTGGGAATGGGTAGTGCCCTGGGAGGAAATGGACCTGGGATAAGTGTTTCAAACCTTTGGAGGATAACTGTTTGGTGGAATGACCTGGGAGGACAGTGTTTGGGTGGAATGACCTGGGATGATAGTGTTTGGTGGAATGACCTTGGGAGGATGAGTGTTTGGTGGAAATGACCTAGGAGGATAGTGTTTGGGTGGAATGGACCTGGGATCGATAGTGTCAAGGACCTGGGAGGATGAGTGTTTGGTGGAATGACCTGGGAGGATAGTGTTTGGTGGAATGACCTGGGATGACAGTGTTTGGAGAATGACCTGGGAGGATGAGAGTGTTTGGATGGAATGACCTGGGAGGATGGGTATTTGGTGGAATGACCTGGGAGGATAGTATGTTGGGAATGACCTGTGTTTGGGTGGAATGACCTGGGAGGATAGTGTTTGAGTGGAATGACCTGGGATGACAGTGTTTGGTGGAATGACCTGGGATGACAGTGTTTGGTGGAATTGACCTGGGAGGATAGTGTTTGGTGGAATGACCTGGGAGGATAGTGTTTGGTGGGAATGGACCTGGGAGGACAGTGTTTGGTGGAAATGACCTGGGAGGAACCTAGGATAGTGTTTGGTGGGAATGACCTGGGACAAGCAAGTGACAGTGTAGGAGGATAAGTGGGTGGAATGACCTGGAGGGATGACAGTGTTTGGTGGAATGACCTGGGAGGACAGTGTTTGGTGGAATGACCTGGGAGGATAGTGTTTGGTGGAAATGACCTGGGAGGATAGTGTGTTTGGAGAGGAATGACCTGGGAATAGATCCTGTGGAGGATGGTATGTGGGGACTAGGAGGACAGTGTTTGGTGGAAATGACCTAGGAGGAGGATGTGTCTGGTGGAAATGACCTGGAGTGTCAGTGTTTGGTGGAAATGACCTAGGATGACAGTGTTTGGTGGGAATAGCCTAGGAGGATAGTGTTTTAGGTGGAATGACCTAGGACTGGAGCCGACAGTGTTTGCGTACTGGAATGACCTGGGATGACCATGTGTTTTTGGTGGAAATGACCTGTCTGTTGTGGAGACCTGGGACCACATTTTCAATTTGTGGAACCTACCTGATATGACAGTTGTCAGAGCCCTAGGAGGATATGAGTGTTTGGCGGAATGACCTTGTCAGTGACCACCTGGTGACCAGCCCTGTTTGAGTGGAAATAGCCTGGGAACGAACCACCTATTTTAGTGTTTGAACCAGTCTGTTGTCAAGACAGAACCACTCAAGTATGTTGTCAGTGTTTGGTGGAACCTGTCTGTTGTCAGAACGAACCTGGGAGGACAGTGTTTGTTGTCAAATGAACCAGCCTAGGAGGTCTGTCTGTCAGATGAGGAGGACAGTGTTTGGAGGACCTGACCTTGTCAACCCCTGTCTGTTGTCAGACGAACCACCTGTTGGAGGATAGAGTGTCTAGGTGGAAAGACCTGGAGGATAGTGTTTGGTGGAATGACTTGGAGGATAGTGTTTGGAGGAATGACCTGGGAGGACAGTGTTTGGTGTGAAATGACCTGGGAGGGGACATTGTTTGTGGAAATGACCTGGGAGGATGGTGATGATGTGTGTTTGACAGGGTTACATCCCATCCCCAGATGTCTAGGGTCAAACGAAACTGTATTGTCACTGACTTATTTTTCGAACCTACCTATTTTCAGTGCTGTCTGTTGTCAGAATCCACCTCGTGTCAAAATATGTCTGTTGTCCAGGATATACCTAGTGTCAACCCCCAATCTGTTGTCAAACGAACCTCCTGATGCGACTAAAATATTGTCAACCCTGTCTGTTGTCAGACGAACCACCCTTTATTGTCAACCCTGTCTATTGTCAGATGAACCACCTATTGTCAGATGAACCAGTCTATTGTCAGACGAACCACCTAGTGTCAACTCTGTCTGTTGTCAGACGAACCACCTAGTGTCAACCCTGTCTGTTGTCAGACGAACCACCTAGTGTCAACCCTGTCTGTTGTCAGATGAACCACCTAGTGTCAACCCTGTCTGTTGTCAGACGAACCACCTATTGTCAACCCTGTCTGTTGTCAGACGAACCACCTATTGTCAACCCTGTCTGTTGTCAGACGAACCACCTAGTGTTGTCAGACCCACCTAGTGTCAACCCTGTCTGTTGTCAGACGAACCACCTAGTGTCAACCCTATTGTCAACCCTGTCTGTTGTCAGATGAATCATTGTTGTCAACCCTGTCCACCTGTCAGATGAACCACCTGTTGTCAACCCTGTCTGTTGTCAGACGAACCACCTATTGTCAACCCTGTCTGTTGTCAGACGAACCACCTAGTGTCAACCCTGTCTGTTGTCAAACGAACCACCTAGTGTCAAACCTGTCTGTTGTCAGACGAACCACCTAGTGTCAACCCTGTATGTTGTCAGACGAACCACCTAGTGTCAACCCTGTCTGTTGTCAGACGAACCACCTATTGTCAACCCTGTTTGTTGTCAAATGAACCACCTATTCTCAACCCTGTCTGTTGTCAGACGAACCACCTATTGTCAACCCTGTCTGTTGGCAGACGAACCACCTAATATCAACCCTGTCTGTTGTCAGACGAACCACCTAGTGTCAACCCTGTCTGTTGTCAGACGAACCACCTGTTGTCAACCAGTCTGTTGTCAAATGAACCACCTGTTGTCGACCAGTCTGTTGTCAAATGAACCACCTGTTGTCGACCCTGTCTGTTGTCAGACGAACCACCTATTGTCAACCCTGTCTGTTGTCAGACGAACCACCTAGTGTCAACCCTGTCTGTTGTCAGACGACCTACCTGTTGTCAACCCTGTCTGTTGTCAAACGAACCACCTAGTGTCAACCCTGTCTGTTGTCAGACGAACCACCTAGTGTCAACCCTGTCTGTTGTCAAACGAACCACCTAGTGTCAACTCTGTCTGTTGTCAGACGAACCACCTATTGTCAACCCTGTCTGTTGTCAGACCTAGTGAACCACCTCAGTCACAAGTGTCAACCTGTCTGTTGTCAGACGAACCACCCTGTCTGTGTCAGACCTGTCTGTTGTATGTTGTCCAGACGAACCACCTAGTGTCAACCCTGTCTGTTGTCAGACGAACCACCTAGTGTCAACCCTGTCTGTTGTCAGACGAACCACCTAGTGTCAACCCTGTCTGTTGTCAGACGAACCACCTAGTGTCAACCCTGTCTGTTGTCAGACGAACCACCTAGTGTCAACCCTGTCTGTTGTCAGACGAACCACCTAGTGTCAACCCTGTCTGTTGTCAGACGAACCACCTAGTGTCAACCCTGTCTGTTGTCAGACGAACCACCTAGTGTCAACCCTGTCTGTTGTCAGACCACCTCGTGTCAACCTGTCTGTTGTCAGACCCTGTGTCAAACCTTGTCAGACGAACCACCTAGTGTCAACCCTGTCTGTTGTCAGACGAACCACCTGTCAGTGTCAGACCCTGTGTGTTGTCAGACGAACCACCTAGTGTCAACCCTGTCTGTTGTCAAACGAACCACCTAGTGTCAACCCTGTCTGTTGTCAAATGAACCACCTGTTGTCAACCAGTCTGTTGTCGAATGAACCACCTAGTGTCAACCAGTCTGTTTAATTACTGAGCAGAGTGAGTGAGAGATCAGAAGGTTGACGGTTTATTTCTCATTGTCTATAATGAAATACTATTTTATTTTTTCAATCTTTGTTTTTATCATTACTTACTTGTCTAGTATATTTTAGAACTATGTGTCACATCCAGGCATTCTCATGAATGGAAAATCCATAGTCATGATTCTTCATCCAGGGTTTACTTCCTGTGAGCAGATTAGTTTGGGTCAATGACTTCTACCAACATAATGGTTTTATATGAATTTTTATATCATGAAGCATGTATGGTGTCTTGTACTTAGTTTGGAGCCATCGGTTCTTTGCAATGTTTGGGGTAGCTTAGTGTTTAATGTGTCATTCCGAAGACTCGGGGTTCGATTCCCTGCATATGTACAATAAGGGGAGCCCAATACCAGTGTCTCCAAGTGTGATATTGCTGGGATAATGCAACGAAAAGCTTTATTCGGTTACTTACGTGATATACACGTTAAGTAAAGTGGAGATTGCAATGGTTGAAGCCGTGGTTTCATAGATTGGTGCTCATAATATCAGTCACCTGTTTGTCTAATTTGATTCTATAATTTTCGGCCCAGATTGATGTAACAGGATTGTGGATGAATGTGGCGGAAAACAACATGAGAGTGTACGTAGCCGTAATGCCTTAGTGTACTCTTTACCTTGACAGGTGCACGTGGTCGTACAGAGGAGTTGAGCCAGTTCGACTTCTACTAGAGACAACCGTATTTAAAATGGCAGCTCATGGATCAAGGAATATCGCTTATTGGTGGCATTGGCGTCTGTGATGACGCTTCTTGTAACGTCGGTGTTGACGTCAATGCTGACGTCAGTGTTTTGTGTTTTGATGTCTATATGCGGCTGTTTTGTCTGTGTTGTCTTTCTTGACGTCCGTTTTACAGATCCGTTTTGGAATCTGGATTGACCTATATTGTCTGTCTTGTAGTCTGCACGCTGGTCTGTGGTTATGGGGGCGGTGGGGTAGCCTTGTAGTTAAGGCGTTCGCTTTTCACGCTGAAGAACGGGTTCAATTCCCCAAATGGGTACTATGTGTGAAGTCCATTTCTGGTGTCCCCCGCGGTGATATTGCTGGAATATTGCTACTCACTCACTCACTCACTGTGGTTATGCCTCTGTTGAAATGTGTTATCTATACTAGGCACATAAAAAACTGTGCATACAAAAATTTAATATGTAAATTTATCAAACCTGTGTAGACACATAAGGATTTAAACTCAGAGATTAGTGACATGTATACAACATGCATGCATGTGCCACGTTCCGTGACGTCAGTGGGTTCGTCCTTGAGACGTGCAAAACGTTGTTGCACGTGCATTCCGGGAAAGAGAAACAAAGCAAATGAATGCCACACAATACTGTCACTTTGGAAAGCTCAACCCCTGCCCTTGCGATCGTTCAAAAAATTAAACGGCTATTGAAACGCATGTCTGCACAACGTCATGAGGCCATTGGGATGGTCCGTGGGGAATGTCTCAACGACAAGTGGCTGCACATTTCCACTGCCACCGGAACACCATTTCTGCACTGATGAGACGTTACCAGAACACAAATGACGTCATCGATCGGCCACGTTTTGGACGTCCACGTGTAACAACGCCAAGACAGGACAGATGGATAAGGGTGACCAATCTTCGCCACAGGTTTCAGACTGCAGTGATGACTGCCCGAACCATCCCAGGACTTCGCCGTATCCACCACAACACAGTTCGACAACGTTTACGTCATCACGGGATCAGACCACGACGTCCCGCCATACGGCCTATCCTGACACAACGTCATCGACAAGCTCGCCGAATGTGGTGCCGAAATTATGTCCGCAGACCTTTATTTTCGTGGAGAAATGTTGTTTTTACATATGAGTCCAGGTTTAATATTTCCCATAGTGATGGACGTAAACGTGCCTATAGACGCGTGGGAGAACGTTATGCACAGGCCTGTGTCTTGGAGAGGAATCGCTTTGGTGGTGGTTCCGTGATGATTGGGGGTGGAATAACAGCACGCCAAAGAACTCCTTTGGTGATTGTTCAGGGCAACTTAACTGGTGTGGGCTACAGGGATCAGATTCTTCGACCTGTGGCAATTCCTTTTCTGCAACTTCATGGCCCTGGGTTAACATTTCAACATTCCGCCCTCATACGGCAAGGGTTGCTATGGATTTCTTGCAACACCACAACGTTGACTTACTGCCTTGGCCTGCAAATTCACCGGATCTCTCCCCGATAGAGCATGTTTCGGACGAGATGGATCGACGTCTACGCCGTCTTCCTCATCCGCCAGATAACGTCCTTGACCTTGCAACAGAACTTGAGAGAATCTGGCGTGACATCCCACAAGCCTTCCCTGCACGTTTGATAGGCTCTATGCGTCGTCGATGCACTGCTGTTCTCAATGCCGATGGTGGACATACCCATTATTGAGCTTGTGACATGGTCGTTTGACCCCTGTCCCGCTTGTGGACTCGTGACGTCATTGTGATTGACTTTTCAATTGAAATTCTCCCGACTTGTTATGGTCTCATGATCCCTCCATTCAAGTTTATATGTACCTTTGACATTGTTATCGTACTTATCAACTGGGATAATATTTTGACAATGCACAGTTTCTTTATGTGGCTAGTATATATTGGGGTCTGTATTGACCTGTCTCGTCTGTGTAGCCCTCTGTGTTGAATCTGTTTATCTCTGATGCCGTCTGTGTTGACGTCTGTGGTAACCTTGGTGTTGACCTCTGTGTGCAGGAGGAGGATTTAACCAGTACCACGTAGACATTAATATGACCTACACTTCACTAATTATACACTTGCACCAGTCGGAACAGCTTACCTGTCTTTCATAGGAACGCATTTGTTATCACCTGATATAAGAACTGAGTTTATTTCATCGATCGAGTAAGTGCGGGGAGCTCCGTCGCTGACTGAAGCGATAGGTTTAGTCTCTGTTAAACTTCTATGGATTTCTAGTCTTGACGTACTAAATGGATGAGGTTCACGTGCCAGAAACATTCGTTTACGAAACCTAAGAATTGTCTACAATTTACTGCGTTTCATTATCCAGCCTGAGCACTCGGGAAACACCAGATTTGGTCATTTGTCATTGAGCGGAGGCCATCGACGGCTGTTGTGTACTGGCCTGCTGCTGGTGAAGTGCGGCACCGTGGATTGGGAAGGATGTATATCGGTGTAATACTGTTTACTGTTATGACCGTCAGTCAAGTGCTGCCCTGCGACACCGCATACAGACTCTGTAATGTCACGGATGAGGCTCATCTATCAAACTGCTCCGAGAAGAACGGGGTTGGAACATCTCTGTCTCCAGCCGACCGGAAAGTTGACCCAACACTTCCAGGACGCTCACACGAGAAAGGGACAGTGAAAACACCTTTCCCCTCAGGAGGGAATGGTACAGATGGGGCACATCGTCTTTCAGGAGGGAATGGTACAGATGGGGCACATCGTCTCTCAGGAGGGAATGATACAGATGGGGCACATCGTCGCTCAAGAGGGAATGGTACAGATGGGGCACATCGTCTCTCAGGAGGGAATGGTACAGATGGGACACATCGTCTCTCAGGAGTGAATGGTACAGATGGGGCACATCGTCTCTCAGGAGGGAATGGTACAGATGGGACACATCGTCTCTCAGGAGGGAATGGTACAGATGGGACACATCGTCTCTCAGGAGTGAATGGTACAGATGGGGCACATCGTCTCTCTGGAGGGAATGGTACAGATGGGACACATCGTCTCTCAGGAGGGAATGGTACAGATGGGACACATCGTCTCTCAGGAGGGAATGGTACAGATGGGACACATCGTCTCTCAGGACGGAATGGTACAGATGGGGCACATCGTCTCTCAGGAGGGAATGGTACAGATGGGACACATCGTCTCTCAGGAGGGAATGGTACAGATGGGGCACATCGTCTCTCAGGAGGGAATGATACAGATGGGACACATCGTCTCTCAGGAGGAATGGTACAGATGGGGCACATCGTCGCTCAAGAGGGAATGGTACAGATGGGACACATCGTCTCTCAGGAGGGAATGGTACAGATGGGGCACATCGTCTCTCAGGACGGAATGGTACAGATGGGGCACATCGTCTCTCAGGACGGAATGGTACAGATGGGGCACATCGTCTCTCAGGAGGGAATGGTACAGATGGGACACATCGTCTCTCAGGAGGGAATGGTACAGATGGGACACATCGTCTCTCAGGACGGAATTGTACAGATGGGGCACATCGTCTCTCAGGAGGGAATGGTACAGATGGGACACATCGTCGCTCAAGAGGGAATGGTACAGATGGGGCACATCGTCTCTCAGGAGGGAATTGTACAGATGGGGCACATCGTCTCTCAGGAGTGAATGGTACAGATGGGACACATCGTCTCTCAGGAGGGAATGGTACAGATGGGACACATCGTCTCTCAGGAGTGAATGGTACAGATGGGGCACATCGTCTCTCAGGAGGGAATGGTACAGATGGGACACATCGTCTCTCAGGAGGGAATGGTACAGATGGGGCACATCGTCTCTCAGGAGGGAATGGTACAGATGGGACACATCGTCTCTCAGGAGGGAATGGTACAGATGGGGCACATCGTCTCTCAGGAGTGAATGGTACAGATGGGGCACATCGTCGCTCAAGAGGGAATGGTACAGATGGGGCACATCGTCTCTCAGGAGGGAATGGTACAGATGGGACACATCGTCTCTCTGGAGGGAATGGTACAGATGGGACACATCGTCCCTCTGGAGGGAATGGTACAGATGGGGCACATCGTCTCTCTGGAGGGAATGGTACAGATGGGGCACATCGTCTCTCAAGAGGGAATTGTACAGATGGGGCACATCGTCTCTCAGGAGGGAATTGTACAGATGGGGCACATCGTCTCTCAGGAGGGAATGGTACGGACGAGACACCGCTTCTCTCAGACACGACATATAACCGGGTTAGTGGTGTCCTCATGAAACTAAACATCCCCTTCATCGTGATGGGGACGGTCCTGAACACTATCAACATCTGCGTCTTCTGCCGAAAGTCGATGCGTTCCAGCACCAACGCCTACCTGTTGGCTAGCAGCATCTCTCAGCTCCTGTACAGTCTCGTCATGGTCCCATACACCGTCAGGTTGGTCACGTACGGAAACACCACCAACCTCTTCTCCATCATGTTCGGCATCTACGTTGCCAACTACGTCGCGGTGGTTCTCAGGCGATTCACCTTCATCATTGCCTGCGTTGTTTCCATGGAAAGGTTTTTGGTGACCACGACGCCGTTGAAGGCCAAGCAATACCGCTTGGTTCACTCACCTGGACAGTTCATCATGGGTGTTTCTCTTTTCTCCGTGCTCGTCCATATACACAGCCTCGTCCGCAACACCGTCATCACCAACCACAAAGATGGGATCACAACCTACAGTGTCTGCGAGACTGGTTTTTACAAGAATCACGTGTCCGTGGTCACGGCGTGGTCGACGACAGCCAGGGTGCTGGCTGTTTATCTGGCCATTACGACGGCGCTCATCTTCAATATCGTCGTTGTCATCTCCCTTCGTCGTCAGAGGCAGTTCAGAGAAAATATCACCAACGCCAGAGTGGTAGACAAGATGAAAGCGCGGGAGAAGCAGACGACAGTCACGATCCTTGTCACAAACTGCCTGTACTTAGTGCTCTGCGTGCCCATGGTCACCAACTCCATGGCCTTTGACCTCAGCCCCGTCTACGGTTACTTTTCTCACTACTACAAGAACGTGTACATGGTGATACAAGACTTAGGCTCCACCTGTGTCCTGCTGGGTTTGTCCGTGGACTTTTTCTCCCACATGATGCTCAGTGAGATGTACAGAGCTACATTCTTGTGTATGTTCAAGCCAAAGTGTGTTGCAATACCCTTGACACACTCGGAATACCAGCTCGAAGACTCGAAGTCCGATAACTTTAAGAGCGTTTCAAATGTCACCTTGACCTCTCATCTGTGAGTGTGACGGATTTTGAAACTAACTACATGTTTAAAAATGTGGTTTCTGTGATATAAAATGTCATTCTGATAAAATTCATTTGATGGAGTTGTAAAGGCTGGAACGCCGTAAGTACGAACTGGCTGGAGGATAAATAGCGCGATGAATATACCAAGGGACTGTAGTGCCCGGAACAGAATGATCCCAGCTACACTTGGGTTTGCCTCAAGGGTTTTAGCAAAGAGGTGAACGTGCAAGACCCGCACCACGTCGGATTCTCCTCCCTCGTTATACGGCGTTGTAGAGATGGATAAGGTGTCAACTACGCTCAAACTGTACGTTCTCCTTACATTCACGTTGTGTAGCAGTGTCAAAGCAGTATGATCGCGATGTATTCCGGCAACAGAAATAAATTGGTACGTGCGTTTGCATGCATGACGTCATTGACTATGAAACATTGGATCACACTATTACATCACTTAGCCAAGAACAGTACATGTACAACTGCAGTACGCCGTTAGCTTTGGGTTGTTCAGCTGCAATATGTCATTCAGCTTTAGACTGTACAACTGCAGTACGCCGTTAGCTTTGGGTTGTTCAGCTGCAATATGTCATTCAGCTTTAGACTGTACAACTGCAGTACGCCGTTAGCTTTGGGTTGTTCAGCTGCAATATGTCATTTAGCTGTAGTATATCATCTAGTCATGGACTGTACAGCTGTAGTATATCATCTAGTCATGGATTGTACAGCTGTAGTATATCATCTAGTCATGGATTGTACAGCTGTAGTATATCCTCTAGTCATGGATTGTACAGCTGTAGTATATCCTCTAGTCATGGATTGTACAACTGTAGTATATCCTCTAGTCATGGAGTGTACAGCTGTTGTATATCATCTAGTCATGGATTGTAAACCTGGAGGTTATCATCAAGTCATGGATTGTACAACTGTAGTATATCATCTAGTCATGGATTGTAAACCTTAGAGTATATCATCAAGTCATGGATTGTACAACTGTAGTATATCATCTAGTCATGGATTGTACAACTGTAGTATATCATCTAGTCATGGATTGTACAACTGTAGTATGTCATCTAGTCATGGATTGTACAAATGTAGTATATAATCTAGTCATGGATTGTACAACTGTAGTATGTCATCTAGTCATGGATTTTCAACTGTAGTATATCATCTAGTCATGGATTGTACAACTGTAGTATATCATCTAGCCATGGATTGTACAACTGTAGTATATCATCTAGTCATGGATTATACAACTGTTGTATATCATCTAGTCATGGATTGTACATATGTAGTATATCATCTAGTCATGGATTGTACAACTGTAGTATATCATCCCCCATGGATTGTACAACTGTAGTATATCATCTAGTCATGGATTATACAACTGTTGTATATCATCTAGTCATGGATTGTACATATGTAGTATATCATCTAGTCATGGATTGTACAACTGTAGTATATCATCTAGCCATGGGTTGTACAACTGTAGTATATCATCTAGTCACGGATTGTACAACTGTAGTATATCATCTAGCCATGGATTGTACAACTGTAGTATATCATCTAGTCATGGATTGTACAACTGTAGTATATCATCTAGTCATGGACTGTACAACTGTTGTATATCATTTAGTCATGGACTGTACAACTGTTGTATATCATCTAGTCATGGATTGTAAACCTGCAATATATTATCTAGAATGGGTTTAGGTTGAAAGGTGTTTCGATGGTAAGGCGTGGAGATAACATGGGGTCTTGAGCATGAGGTATTCTTGAGGTGATACGTAGGTCAATGATGTAGGGGTGGGACTAAGGGGGCGGACCAGGCTAGGTTTTGGGAGGGGCAATTTGACGGGGGTAGGGACTGGGTGAGGTATGTAGTTGAGGGATCAGGCTTGGATTGGGTGAAAGACAGAAGGGGGTGTCCAGGGCGAGGGATGAGGTCAGGTGAAGGTATGTGGGGACAACGATACGTACGTTATTTAGATATTTAGTGCGATGTTCTTTTGTAATGAATTTGGCCTTTATAAAAATGTGGTGAATGTTTATGTGTAGTGTAGTGTTTCATTTACATGACACTTTGTAGAATGTGGACTCACCGGTCCACCAGCATGTCACATGACACCTTGTAGCACGTGGTCTCACCGCTCCACCAGCATGTCACATGGCACCTTGTAGCTAATGGACTCACCGCTCCACAAGCATGTCACATAACACCTTGTAGCACGTAATCTCACCACTCAACTAGCATGCCACATGACGCCTTGTAGCACGTGGTCTCACCCCTCAACTAGCATGTCACATGACACCTTGTAGTACGCGATCTCACCCCTCAGCTAGCATGTCACATGACACCTTGTAGCAAGTAATGTCACCACTTAACCAGCATGTCACAGGACACCTTGTAGCAAGTGATATCACCACTCAACTAGCATGCCACATGACACCTTGTACCAAGTGATCTCACCACTCAACTAGCATGTCACAGGACACCTTGTAGCAAGTGATATCACCACTCAACTAGCATGCCACATGACACCTTGTACCAAGTGATCTCACCACTCAACTAGCATGCACATGACACCTTGTAGCACGTGATGTGACCACTCAACTAGCATGTCACATGACACCTTGTAGCACGTGATCTGACACCTGAACTAGCATGCACATGACACCTTGTAGCACGTGATGTGACCACTCAACTAGCATGTCACTTGACACCTTGTAGCAACTGATCTCACCACTCAACGAGAATGTCACCTGACACCTTGTAATAACTGATTTGACCACTCAGCCAACATGTCACATGACTCCTTGTAGCACGTGATGTGACCACTCATCTGGCATGTCACATGACACCTTGTAGCACGTGATGTGACCACTCATCTGGCATGTCGCGTCAGGTTGACATCATCCGACAATTATGAGGTATCTGATTTACCCTTTATGCCCACTGTCTAGGAACTGCCCTGGTCAGTGATCAACGCTGACTATGATCATGCGTCTACGTGTATGTATGGGTTGACCGTGGTTCACGTTTGTCCTGATTACTTGCTACCGAGCACTTCCGCACCTATACACATGTTCTATTCATGTGAAAGAAGCCATGTTGAAGCACCTGCTGTCTCGTAGTATCAGACAACCTTCCGCTGAGTGGTCGCTCCTACTCCTGGTGAAGCTGCTGGGGCCATGTACATCGCTGTCGTCTGTCTGTGTCTGTTGGCCGTCGGCGTCCAGGTATTTGTAAATTGGCTTCATTCAGAAAAGACGGCCCTGGGGGCGCCACTGTCTGTGGTTCCAGGTATACGATTCTTAACGTGAGAAGATCCCGTCATTTTTTATTCGAATCGTATGCTTTCAAAGATCATTGATGGGCTTCATTGGAGACACTCACTCATCCACTCACCAGGGCACCTTCACGCTACATGTACATAAGTGTCTAACCACTGACGTGTACACGGGTCTAACTGCTGCTTTCTCTTTTCACGCATTCGCGTAATCACGCACACTCAACCCGTGACCACCCTACTCACGCACTCATTTGACCTTGTAGGTTTCTTTAAAATGAGAAAATATATCAAATCGAGTCATCCTGTTCCTGGTTGACATTTTATGACATAAGGGAATGGAATGTTGGGTATCCCTCTCTAACACAGTCAACCATTCAACCTCACAACCGGCCAACCACTCAACACCATACAACTCAGCCATTCAACCGCCCAACCATTCAACCATCCAACTATTCAATCATTCAACACCCATTCACCCATCCTTGCAGAGCGCCTCTGTGACTGACCTGTCCGGTCTGAAGCAGCTCAGCCAACCCAAGACATACACGTGCACCCCCACATGTGGCGCCGGTCAGTGCTGTGTCCACTTTTACACCCCCGTCCACGGACGCCGACAGCTCCAACCCATCGACCTACCCCTGAACAACCCCTATCCCGGCATCACGACCATGTGCAAGACGATCCCGACCTCTGGAGAGAAGTGTCTGGTCCACAATCCCGGAGAGTGGTGCGACTGTGCGGCAGGCCTCTCTTGTCGACCTAACGGCAAGACTGGACTAGACGCCTTCTTCGGCACGTGCATCTAATTACAGGTGCGCACATGTGTCTCACTTCTGACGTCTTCACTGCATATTAATAAGATCAACACTGTACCCTGTTCTTTGTGTTGTTCCAATATGGCGTCCGTTACAGTAAATAGTTATTCATAATGATAAGAGATATTATGTTGACATATTCCTTTATCTATATATTCTTGAATGTCAGAAAATGAATGTAGTCATCCCACTGGGACGTGTTAGGGTGATAAACGTGTCTGGCTGTTGGTTGTGATGGATGTGTTCACACAGTTTGGGGCTCCAGGGGGCAACTGGCATAGGCTACCTGCTTTTACTGTATACATCAGAAATAAGTATCGGCAACAGAAGGTGAACATGCACAGGGAATGCGTCCACACACTGTGAGGCATGATAGATGTGGGACAGCGGTACATATGCTCTATACCTGAGACTGATATGATCCATGAATCAGGCCAATATAATCCATGTCTCAGCCCAATGTGATCAACATCTTAGACCGATATGATCCATCTATCAGACCGATAAGACCATGGAGACATGGGTCATATTGAGTTGAGAGTTGAGTCGGCATTATTCCAGCCATATAGAGACGAGATCAAGTCTGCATTCATAAACATTCTAAGTACAAAGTCCAAATGAGTTTTATTCCCAAAACATATGTAGTCCTTATATTATTATTTTAAAAACATAAAATGTCCTAGCACCAAATTCAAAAACAAGCAATCCGTCATTCACATTACATAACTAAAAATTGGAACAAAGTATCTCGGCACTATATGGCTGGAATAGTGCTGATGTGACGCAAAGCCCAACTCAACTCAATATGACCCATGGTTCACACCGATATGATCCATGTCTCACACCGATATGATCCATGTCTCACACCGATATGAACCATGCCTCACACCGATATGAACCATGTCTCACACCGATATGAACCATGTCTCACACCGATATGATCCATGCCTCACACCGATATGATCCATGCCTCACACCGATATGATCCATGTCTCACACCGATATGAACCATGTCTCACACCGATATGATCCATGTCTCACACCGATATGATCCATGTCTCACACCGATATGATCCATGTCTCACACCGATATGAACCATGTCTCACACCGATATGATCCATGTCTCACACCGATATGAACCATGTCTCACACCGATATGATCCATGTCTCACACCGATATGAACCATGTCTCACACCGATATGATCCATGTCTCACACCGATATGATCCATGTCTCACACTGATATGATCCATGTCTCACACCGATATGATCCATGCTTTACACCGATATGATCCATGCTTTACACCGATATGAACCATGTCTCACACCGATATGAACCATGTCTCACACCGATATGATCCATGTCTCACACCGATATGATCCATGTCTCACACCGATATGAACCATGTCTCACACCGATATGAACCATGTCTCACACCGATATGATCCATGTCTCACACCGATATGAACCATGTCTCACACCGATATGAACCATGTCTCACACCGATATGATCCATGTCTCACACCGATATGAACCATGTCTCACACCGATATGATCCATGTCTCACACCGATATGAACCATGTCTCACACCGATATGAACCATGTCTCACACCGATATGATCCATGTCTCACACCGATATGATCCATGTCTCACACTGATATGAACCATGTCTCACACCGATATGATCCATGTCTCACACCGATATGATCCATGTCTCACACTGATATGATCCATGTCTCACACCGATATGATCCATGTCTCACACCGATATGAACCATGTCTCACACCGATATGAACCATGTCTCACACCGATATGATCCATGTCTCACACCGATATGATCCATGTCTCACACCGATATGAACCATGTCCACACCGATATGATCCATGTCTCACACCGATATGAACCATGTCTCACACCGATATGAACCATGTCTCACACCGATATGATCCATGTCTCACACCGATATGAACCATGTCTCACACCGATATGAACCATGTCTCACACCGATATGAACCATGTCTCACACCGATATGATCCATGTCTCACACCGATATGATCCATGTCTCACACCGATATGATCCATGTCTCACACCGATATGATCCATGTCTCACACCGATATGATCCATGTCTCACACCGATATGAACCATGTCTCACACCGATATGATCCATGTCTCACACCGATATGAACCATGTCTCACACCGATATGATCCATGTCTCACACCGATATGATCCATGTCTCACACTGATATGATCCATGTCTCACACCGATATGATCCATGCTTTACACCGATATGATCCATGCTTTACACCGATATGAACCATGTCTCACACCGATATGAACCATGTCTCACACCGATATGATCCATGCTTTACACCGATATGATCCATGTCTCACACCGATATGAACCATGTCTCACACCGATATGAACCATGTCTCACACCGATATGATCCATGTCTCACACCGATATGATCCATGTCTCACACCGATATGATCCATGCTTTACACCGATATGAACCATGTCTCACACCGATATGAACCATGTCTCACACCGATATGATCCATGTCTCACACCGATATGATCCATGCTTTACACCGATATGATCCATGTCTCACACCGATATGATCCATGTCTCACACCGATATGATCCATGCTTTACACCGATATGATCCATGTCTCACACCGATATGATCCATGTCTCACACCGATATGATCCATGCTTTACACCGATATGACCCATGTCTCACACCGATATGAACCATGTCTCACACCGATATGATCCATTCTTTACACCGATATGATCCATGTCTCACACCGATATGATCCATGTCTCACATCGGTATGATCCATGTCTCACACTGATATGAACCATGTCTCACACCAGTATGACCCATGTCTCACACTGATATGATCCATGTCTCACACTGATATGATCCATATCTCACACCGATATGAACCATGTCTCACACTGATATGATCCATATCTCACACCAGTATGATCCATGTCTCACACTGATATGATCCATATCTCACACCGATATGAACCATGTCTCACACCGATATGATCCATGCTTTACACCGATATGATCCATGTCTCACATTGGTATGATCCATGTCTTAGACAATATGATCCATATCTCACACTGATATGATCCATGTCTCACACCAGTATGATCCATGCTTTACACCGATATGATCCATGTCTCTCATTGGTATGATCCATGTCTTAGACAATATGATCCATATCTCACACTGATATGATCCATGTCTCACACCTGTATGATCCATGTCTCACACTGATATGATCCATGTCTCACACTGATATGATCCATGTCTCACACTGATATGATCCATGCCTCAGACATATGATAATGATCGTGTCACAGGCTGATGTGAGACAAAGAGAAGCTGTCCTGGGCTGTGTCCACCTGGCGGTCATACAACACGCACTGACCCGAGCTGCTCACGCCGAACTTTACACACGTGTCTTCATCCATACACTGGCGAGCACAGTCAAGGTCATACCCTCCTTCTGGGGCGGACTTCCGGTCTTGTGTAAACACTGCATGTACAGATTCGGAAAAAGTGAATCAGTTATCACTTGAATGACTGAGTGATGTATCAAACGTCACTTTTAACAGTATATCCGTTATACCACTCCTTAATATTGGAGGGAAACACAAAACGTAAACAACATGGGCTATATCTGGTATTATAGAGACCCCGGCAACTATTTGAGTGAGTGAGTGAGTCACATCGGCAGTATTTCAGCCATATCGTGACGAGAACAATTAATTATCATTAAAGATCAATTATAATTAGAAGTTATAAAACTGTTTACGATAAACGCTAAAACTAGAGTATCACAGATAGAGATATAAAACTAGCATGTAACTTAATACTTATACTATAATGCAGGACAATTCAATATAAAACAGGGCTATAGATCACCAGCAGCTGAAGGTAGATCACCATACTAGGGACCATGGGGACTTATAATTCTTTGGCCATCTGCATGGACCCTAGACGGATGTATTACATCCCCTCAGCTGCTGGTGCTTGTAGTATGTGTATACTAGAACAACATCACACATCCTACCTACAACCTGAAGGCGAGGGATGACTCCAACACATTATAAGTTGTTCACTGGTCTCGAGGGGGACATGGGCTGATGTACCCTCGATGTTTGTTTATGTTCTCTGAGCCCGAAGGGCGAGGGGAACATAAAGAAACATCGTGAGTACATCAATCCATGGGCCCCGAGGGACCAGTGAACAACGTATTTATCTTACCGAACACCTCAATAGTAATTTGAACTGTTTGAAGCACGGGAATCGGATAATAGTATCGAGTACCTGACGATAAGACGACAAGAAAAACAAATTTAGAGTTATCTCCCCTTCCATCGATTTGCATTCGCAAAACATCGGTAATTTCCGTACATCATACGTGATTCATTGTTATTCGAGATTAAGAATTACTACTACGAAGTACCAAATGAGTTCGGCATTCCCAGCCGGGTACATAGAAAATGGTACTCGCTTGTAAGCGGGGTACATTGAAAATAGTAGGAGCGCGCTCAGCCAATCAGAAAACGACATTTATGTGTGGCAAGATAGGTATATTTAAACCTCGGAGGACATGTCGTTGCAATTAAAGTGAATTTGGTTTAACCTATTCAACTTTTATTACGACATGTCGACTGAAGATGAGATGAGAGCCCATTCAAACTACACCAGTGGTGCTGACAAACCACATATCATGATCAGGCTTAATCCAGGATTCGAACCCGCAGTTGTAAAATCCTACCTGCAGACCTGCGTCCAGTGGTCGGCGCGGTCACTGCGTGGACGTGAAGGTCACATGACAGGACACTCCCGAACAGGTCTACACACTTGGACCTGAGCTTGACGTATCGGCCCTGTACATGCCTGACGCACTGGTGCGAGACTGTGATGTTCGGGGGAACCTGGCCGCTCTGTTCCACACAGATCTTGCTTCCGTACATCTCGTTGTCGGTGGCAGACAACCTATTGCCAACCTCCACGGTAAAGTTGCCCAGCCAAGGATCTGAATAGAAGAAATTTCTGTCTCGATCTTGCTAGTACCA